CTGTACTATTTTATCTATTTCTTCCTGCGATAATGCCAGACCTTCTTCATTATCTCTGTCTTGGGTTCTTTCCATTTTCAGTCGACTTGTCACATTAGTTAAATATTTCAGCTTTTGGGGAGGGGCTTTCAGGGTTTCCCACAGTTGTAGCAACCTTTTCTTCAGGCAGTTGGGATGATACTGAATTTGTTCTTTTTCCTTAATATTATTACTCAAAATTGCTATTATTACTGCTTCCATCATAGTTTGCAAATGGTCCCTCACACTCTTTCAAAGAGGTTGCTAGGTTTTTCTCTTGTTGGATGCTATCTTTATCTGCTTTAGATTAATATGATTTGTTTGTCCCTCAGAAGACATGTGCTTTGGATGATTTTTACTTCTTTTTATTATTCTTCTAACCTCTTTCTCTGACAACTCCACTTCTTCATCATCAATTTTTCTTTTTGAATTTTTTTTTAATTGTTGAAACTTTTTCTTGGAAGAATTTGCTTTTCCAGGCATCTTGATCTAAATAGTGCAATTATGATGCTTTTAAAAAACTCGACTGATTCTTCTCGAATGTGTCTGAAAACTGCACTAAGAGGAATTTGTGCCCAAACAACCAAAATGCCACAGGAACCAGATCTGAAGCTTTTTAAAAATGTAAGATTAAGGCACAAGGGCTGCCCAATCCTCCTTTGGGAAGATGGCATCGTTAAAGCTTTGTACCTGGTGAATGCCAGCCATGCAATGAGAGACGCTGGGCATGAGGCTGTGTGGGCTCACAGGGCCCCAGTAGACCCCACAACCACCGAATTACTCTGAACCCCTGAAGAGCTCCTAGCAACCCCAGTGCATCTGGAAGAGCTAGCTTTCCTGAGTGCACAGTCAGCCCTCCTTTCTCTACCCTGGATTCCTCGGTTTACACAGTGGGATGACGTCTGGTAGGAGAGAGGAAGAACACTGAATCATTTAGTCCAGTTCTTTTTCTTAAGCCTGGCTGTCTTAGAAAACATCCTCCTAGGGGACAAGTGGTCTTCCACGGCCTGTCAGTGACCTGAAGGAGTTAAGGAAATGCAGTTTCTTTCTTATCCCATATCAGAAAAGGGTTTGGAAGAAGCCCTATTGATTAACCTCCTGTTCAGTAAGAGTTCTTTAAATGGCCCAGTGATCCCCACTGTACTACTTTTCCTCAAGAAATTAAGTCATCAAAAGGGCCACAATATGTACTTGCCTCTGAATGGTGGTGATGTTTGTGCACAAATTTCAACCAAGTCAGAAGGTAGGTACAAGCAGAAGAAAGAGAGGGGAGCTCTGTCAGTCATTTATTTTAGATTCTCCCTGACTAACAAAGGTAACTGTGATACCACATTGTAGTTTTGACACAGCAGCAAATAAAAGAAAAATATTTTTCAGTGGCAACAACCAAGTAGCCTTAACCTTGCATTCAAATAATGTATCCTAATTTAACATCACTTTCATCAGTCTGAGGCAAATTTTAAAAAGTCATACTTGGAACAGAACCCGAATCTTAATCACAGAAGTCTAACCACAAGTTCCCCGGTATTAATTGGTTGGCAAAGATTTGTATTGATTCTTTAGCTGGCTCTCTGTGAAGCAAGATCACTGTAGTGCATTTATCTATAGGACTGTCTGACTGATGAGCTTCACTGACTAAAGTGCCTCCTCTGCTTAGTCCCAGTTTGGGGTTTGGGTCTTACTCATATTATCTTGTTCAATGGGACAGATAAAAAATAACTGGCTTAAAGATTCCTGCCACTTTTGGTCAGGAAAACCAGATGAAAACCTGTGTTTGAATCAAGGCAAACCGTAGCCAACAGTGAAAAATTGCTTCAGAGGGTTCGACTCCCCAAAATGGGTTAGGAAACTATTTTTGCACACCAAGAAAACACATTCACCACAATATTCCTACCTTTGTACCACAGGATCAAATACATCATACAGAAACCATCTTGTTTTTTGGAACAAAACAATTAATATCTGAAGGTATTTTTGAACTGAAGCCACACCATTATATGAATCTATATCACCACGCTGTGGTCCAATCTGTATATGGATTTCAGTGCTTCTAGCAGACTGATATCTGTACTCATATATTCTACACTGTGTTTAGTTTAGTGGAACCACAATCTCAATACATTTTTCTGTTTTACAAAGTTTTAGTTACTTCTTGGCAGGTCATCTTTAGTCTTTTATCATAGTTTTTTTCTACACATAACTTACAGAGGTTGCTTTCCAACATATTTTTGGACAGAGTGCTAACACATCTTTTTTTCTTACATTTTAGGGTTACTAAAAATATCTAACATTCAGTAAGGGCATTTCCATATGCTAAAGACTTAAGTATAGTGATTTTCTTGTGTTGTTTAATGAGACAGGCTGTTGATAATATTTTCACTTTCCATCTGGGAAAATAAATGATATTTGCTGCTTTGCTGTAGAACTCATCAGTGTTAGCTGGAGCCAAGGCAAGAGATAATAGTTCTGGACAACAGCCCCCGCCTCACTGCAGTAGCCCAGAAGTGACAGCCATAGCTTCAAAACATCATCATTTAATCTAAGCGATGTGAGTTTCTATGGCAGGGAGAAAGGAGAAGCTTGCTGACAGTATGTCATATTTTCATTATACTTTGGAGAGTAATTATAGGTTGTTATTCACATTTAGCAACTGATCTATGTGGTTTTAAGAAGAAGGCATTAAGACTATACACAAATATGTTTTTAAAATTCAAAATCAGTTTTTAAAATGTGACATTTAGGGCTTTTCCTAGGGTTCAGTGCACCAAACACATAAAATGTATTAAAATGTAGAAACCATACACCTTGCATTCTACAGCTGCCATTTATTTCATTTTGGCATAAAAGTAATTGTTGTTCTGAACATAATTGTATACATTTCCGTTATGCTGAAGTCCAATTACAATCTACTTTAATTCAGATTAATCATGCCAAGATGGCAATTCCATTACACTAAGAGTAAAATTTAATAGTCTAATACATGGCTACAGTTTCAATGGCTAAAACTATGTGTTTAACTACTTGAGAGCTCTTATTAAGATTAAAGTTAAACAAAAAGCATCTTAATCAGATCTTTAGTGGAAAACACACATTACATAACATGAGTGACCACAGCCTACGGAATGCTTTTGTAGAAGCTTTCAACTCAGAAGTATCTACCAGCAGGAAAGGAATAAAACTATGAATATAAATGTTTTCCTCATTTTCAACTTTGTCTATTTATTTTGGATGTTCTGTTCTTTAACAGTAGTCAGAATGCAGTGTTCTATAGATAGGAGTGTGGTTTAGACTGAATGACAAGATACAGTGTACAAGAAGAGAGCAGATAGTTTAAGTAAAGTAATCAATATTTGGTTTTAAACATATTTAACCAAAGGACACAGATAAGGAATAAATAGCTCCAACAACATGGCATCTTTCTGTATTTTAAGTAGGATGTTGGTGGATTTGGAGTTAGTGCCCCTCTAAAATGAACTGCACATTTCCTCTTTAGGGATAAGAAGACCTGTCAAAATAGCACCAGCAAGAGAGAAAGAGAATGTTTCTTTCTTATAATCACTTAAAGGTTGCATTATGATTTTTAACCACTGTCTTTCTTTGAATGTTCTGCCATGGTTAGTTGCTTTTTGTCAAAGAAGCAGAAAATACTGCTGTAGTAATTTTATAGTACAGAAATGATTTATATTTTGCTTAGTTATCCTTTTATATAAAAATGTGTTACTTAATATATGCACTATTTTTATGTAAAATTAAGTGACTTAATACAATTTATTTACAAATCCCCTTTGGTTATTTTATATGTCTGTATTTTGGTATTTTGTTGAATCTCTTGCTATTTTGATTAAGATTCAGAAGAAAATTTGTGTTATGGGAAACCACATGACAGACAGAACTCAGAATGAATCTGAGAAAATTATGTTATATTTAAATTTATAGATTAAAGTGTTCATTTTTATCTCTAGTAAAATTTAAACTATAGGTCACATTTGAAGACCATTTCATATTCTACATGCTGTGCCATGAGCTCCTAGAGGGTAGGTAACATGCTGTAAGTACCCATGACTAACACAATCTAGTGAATTAATTCATCTAGAAAAATTTCAACCTGAGAAATTGCTTTGGTCATAAATGAAATTTCCCACTAAACTATAATTTTTTATCTGTAGAAATAATGCAGCAGCCAGGGATTTAGCTCAGTAGTTTCGCCAACTGCTGTGCAAGCTCAAGGACCCGAGTTTGATCCCCAGTACCAAAAGAAAAGAAAAGAAATAATGCAGCAGATATACTTATTAGTGTTTTCCAGGAGAACCAAAATATATTGGTCAATCAATCTGAGTTTGTCTGTCTTCCTTGTTTTCTATTCTGAAGCAGCTGACAAATCTGCTCCTAATGGTCTTACAAACTTCATGGCTGTGATAAAATTGAGCAGGTATGGGACCAGGAGCAAATGAAGCAAAGACCTGGGTCTTCCTGGGTCACCAATTCCACCAAGAAAGGTGGGAGGAAAAGCTACTAAGCTCCTTTTGTGCTCAGATAGATCCCACTTACCCTTTGCCTTTTATGAATGGCTAGAAGATGCTAATGCTAGGACACAGGAGCATGGAAAGCTGCCCAGGCTTTCAACCACCCTGACTCTATTTTCTAGCATCAGATGCAGGCTGGCCTTTCTCACTTTGGTTTCTTGCAAAGAGAAAAAGGAGGGTCAGATTTTGGAGAAGAGAGCAAGCATTCCACCCGCCTTTTCCTACTTCAGGCAAAACTGAAAAGTACTTCAATTCAAACAGGATGAATCTGAGAAAATTTGAAGTTGCCTTTGAAGGTAAGTAAAGTTGTAACAAACACTTTGAAACTGACACATCTCTAACTGGGGAACCACAAAGGCTCACCTTGCCTTTGGCAAGATGATTGCTCCTAATTCAGAACCCACGAAAGCCAGAGCCAGTAAGGCTGCTGAAAGAACTGTCTGTGTTTTCAGAACTTACGAGGGCTCTTCGGACACAGCAACTCCTTCTTCCAGCTCTTGGGCTTGCTTGAACCACGGCAGCTTGGCCTCCACTGGGAGTTTCTCTGAGGAGGGAGGCATGCACATGAAAGAGAAGAGTTTAGTGCCAATCCAGGATTCTAGGGAAATTTCTGCTATGCTCACAGATCTTAGTATTGTACTAAACCCAGAAGTTATTATGTTGATAACTGCAATTAATAAGTTTTAAGATGAATTGCTGCTTCCTCTGAGGATGATGGTTTTATCAAGAAAAGTGGAATTAGATTTTTAGAACGTTTAATAATACTAGTTTCTGTATACATGCTTCCTCTTTATGATACCGAATAGCAAAGAAAAGTCCTTTTACTACAAAAACTCCAGGAGGACCAGCACAATATGCATGTAAAGAATCATTGAAGCATCTTTCACACATCTTAAAATAAACACAAAATATAATCTTTTTTTTTTTTTTTGCGGCACTGGAGATCCAACTCAGGACTTTGCATCTGGGAGGCAGGTGGTGGCACCACTGAGCTAAATCCCAGGCCCCTTGATAAATTGTATTTTGATACTTTCATAATTGTTTTTGCCTTTTGGGTAAGTGTGATCAATGCCATATAATTAAAAACAAGCTCTGCCACTCTGAGATTCACAAAACATTGCTTTATATATCTCACTTATTCAATACCACCCCAAGGCTCACTGACAATTAGAATATTATGGCAACTTAGGGCCTGTAACCTATAATTTGACTTGTTTTACGTATTTATCTAGATTTGGCCAAATAACACAGAACAAGCTTCCTGACTACTTCGTAGGGGAAAAATGGGGAGAAAAAGGAATAGGGAGGTTCTAACTGTTCCTACAGAAGTAACTGCCAAGATTCCCATTCTGCCATATTTATTAAGGTCATTTATGGGCATATTTGCCTTTATAGTATGAGCCATGAAGCTCTATCACCATTTTATAACATATAATTGCAAAGATGAAAGAAATATGTCCATATAGGCACACACCATAGAATTATATGGTATTTCAATGATGCTTAGAGAGCCAGGCTTACAACTTAGTTGTGAAAATATAGATTTTATTTTTGATAGTGAACCACAAATTGCTTTTCTTTCTCTGAAGTGGCTCAGTAAAGATAGATCTAAAAACTAATCCACCATTTTTAGTTAAGAGCATCACTATTTGTCCTCTATGTGCACTTAATTGTTTATAGTCAGAAAACAAAGTGAGTGAGAAGTATAAATTTCCAAAGCCAAAAGATTTGCTACCATTTGAAAGAAAGCAACATGGCGGGTGCACATAGCTCATTTTACAACTCCTGTGTCTATCCCAAGGAAAAGGCTCAGTCAGTGAGGCCATCCCTGATAGCATAAGAAAGCAAGCACTCGATCTCACAGCGACACACAGTTCAGTTTGGCACCCATACCACATGACTGTAGCACTTTACTATTGAACTGAATCTTGTCAGGTGTACTGATGGCCACCTCTTCTGATACTTGAGGACACTGATGATAGTTAAGAGTTAAGGTAACATTTGGAGAGAACTTACTATATTCAGTTACCAGGTTAAGTACCTGATTACATTATATCTCCTCTAATCTTCACATGATCCTGGGATAGATACTATCCCCCCGCTCCATTTTACAGATGAGAAAACTAAGGCTTAGAGAGATTTATTAAAAGTAATCAGGATTTCTGATATGTTTTCAGATTTTGGTTTCCTTTTAAGTTATTGATTTAGATCTAATGATACCATTCATTCACACCAGAGGTATAATAAAGAGCTAGATTATGGCTCATATTCATAGAAATTTAATGGCTTAAAGAAATGAGAAAGAAATATGAACCATTCTTAATATTAGAAAGTGGAAGAGGCTTATAATAAAGAGTTTATTTCATTTTAATTGTTCATAACTTTGGATTGTCCTAGTTCACTGGTAGACTAGTAGCAATAATAGCACAGAAGTGAGACTAGTATTCATGCTAATCTGAGCTAATCTTGCTCATTAAGTAGAACTTTTCTAAAATTTCTTTTTATAAGTTGTTTCCAGTATATACTAAATTGTTATATACTTCACATTTTCATTTCAAATTATGCTTTTAGAATTCAGTCTCATATTTATGTTTTAATTTTCAGTATAAAAAGCATAGTTTTCTGTTTCTTGAAGTATGAGACTTCCCAATGTGTTTCAGGCTGACACAGTTAGATTCCCTTGCTTTCAACAGCAAGATATGTGGATAGTAAATTACACAAACATTTCTATACAATCTCATCTCTCTTTAAGAAGACATACAGGGCATTTTTCAGCAATAGTCTTCAAATCACTTTATGACTTGGGAGGTAACTGTCCACAGTGATTTCTCTATGGAGCACTTAATAAAAATTTACAATCAAAACCATTTGAAATATTTAAAAAGAGAATTAAGTCCATTTAGTAGAGTCTAAGTTACACAGAATCACTATTAAGAATACTGGGGATAAATAAAAAATTCCAAGGAGTTTAAAACAGGTGCCTCATACACACAACAATGGGCAGACTGGTAAAGAGCGCCTGCCAAGTTACCTTTGGGTTTGTAGCATGGAGTAGGTATGATGCATTCCTCTTTTATGTGGGGCTTCGTTTTTGGGCTGCAGCCTCCTGTGTGCATTCCTCGGTGGTCCATGCAGAGGACCACACGGTACCTGAGGCCCTGGCCACATGTCACCGCGCACTGGAAAGAGATGGTGAAAGGAGACTCACAGGCGAGGCCTTCTTTCCTTCACTTCCCTCCTAAGACTTTATACAAGGGCTCCTTTTCATACGCGGACTCCTGGTGGATTTGTACCACTTCTTACCAGTCATGGCATCTTTTTTCCCTTTGGGTATTTGAGGTGAAGCTAGCTGAAAATTAAATCACTTTCAATTTCTTAGGCTTGGATTAATCTGTCACCAATCCTGGAGGACCCACTGTGCAAAGTCTCAAATCAAGGACCAAAAAAAAAGGAAAAAATAAACTAGAGTGTGCTCAAATTTAATCACCAACACTGCGTTTTTATTGAGTTACTTTGCTAATGATTGCAATGTCCAAAACTATGAGGAAATGCTAGCTCCCACATGGGTATTAACAGATTTTATATTGCCATCAGAGCTAGTTTGTATTGCAGCATGGCCAATCCAACTGATTATATTGAAATTGAAAAAAAAAAACATTAACAGAAACTGATTCAATAGCCAGATATACACAATACCTATAATGGTTCTATACCTCCAGTATGTAAAGGAAAACATCACAATTCTCACCTGCACCTACACAGCCAGCTACAAGGCTCAGTGAGGAGTCCCTTGCCATTTTTGTAGATAAGAGGACAATGATTTACTTCTACATATTTATACCTTATTTGCCATTTCCCTCTTTGCATTAGCAGCCAAGAAACCTAGAATAGCATTTTAGGCTTAGTTACAGCAGGTTTCCTAATATCCATTATTTTTTGCTTTAATTATTCTTCTTCACCCTCATATTAATTATTTTATGGTTTTCATTTTTATCCCTTTACCCTCAATGACTGATATACATAGTTTTAATGTTAATTCACTCCGACCCTCTTTGGATATAGACAGAAGATAATAAAAAATGAAATTAAACTGTGGTCTACTGAGTTCTGTCATCAAAGCAGCTTTCACACATTATGGCTGAATCATTCAGCCTCAACTATTCTAGAAAGGCAGTTGCCTACCCAATAAAGGGGTGCAGTAGAGAGTCCTTTGAAGGAAAACCAAGAAAGGCATTTAAAAAAGTCATTTACTTCAGTCGTGCTGGACTGGGACCTTCCTACTCAAGGAGCTAAGTGGGAGGCTTCTAGATAAGTCAAGAGAGAAGGGCGGAGCTGCACAGGGTACCTGTGGGCCAGGGTGCGAGAGGAGAGGGAGGAGTGGACTTACTCCCCTAAGGAACAGAGAAAGAGGGCACAGTTACCGGAGACCACTCCTGTGCCAGCCATTTAGGGCAGTCAAAAATGTTGCAGGGCTGCACGACGGGCATCTTAGGGGTGTACATGCATTTCCACTCTTCCACTGAGGTGACCCGTCCCTGGATGTCCTCCTCCTCACAGGAAACTGCCCGGCTCTGGATGCCCCCCCCACACGAGGAGGAGCACGCGGTCCATGGGGTGGCCTCCCACCTACAGAAGCAAGGGGAGTCATCAGGGTAGACACGCACACGGCCAGACCTCCTCACGACCTGCCAACCAACCCCACTCCCTGGGCCTGCTGGGGTCATTGGGTCCTCAGAGGATACAGTTCAGAGAACCAGAAGATGCTGACCAACTGCGCTCCGATAGTAAGCAAGAGGATGCCGTGTTGGCAACAGTACTCCAGCTCCTGTGAAGCTCTACACGAATGGAAGACGGTACAGTTTGGGAAGCTGTCCGCGAGGGTGTCTGTGCTGTCTGTAATCCACACAGGAGGGGGCAGTTCAGTCTCAGTCCTTCTCCCCATGGTTTCATGATGTACATATAGGGGTATCAAAATGTATTCATTTATTTACTTTTCACTAAGTCCCATTAAGTATCTTTGTCAAGACTCAAACTGGGTAATCAGTTAACACTAACAGCTTGCACCTGGGCAGATACTTTTATTTCCAACTTAATACTTTATTACTTTACTGCAGGGTATTTTTCACAGGAGAAGCTCATAAAAGATCGGTGTAAACAAAAACTCTTTCTTCCTTGCTCCTGCAATTGTCGGCTTGGAGACTTCATAGGCTCAGCACAATCCTGATCTTTAGACTGCGCTGGAGCAGAAGTGTTAATAACGGCATTATTTACTTATTCTCTTACTACCGAGGGACAGTGGTAGTTTAGATTTCCTCCAGTAAAGTGTTTCTGAATTGTGAAGAGGTTTGTTTTGGTTGAAAGGCTTATAGCATCTGAATCTAGAGACAATAACAATATTGCTAACAACATTTAAGACAATTCCATTGATATTTCAGAGCTCTATATAGTTTGGACACATTTGGGATCAAATACAGAGAGCTATCTTTGTCTAATTCTTTTCTCTCCTGTAGATTTAGAGAATGTGACACTTCTAAAAACAAGCATTGGGACTGAATGAGCTGAGTTTGTCATTCTTAATGCATTCAGCTTGTCTATGAGGGTGACCAAGGAACTCTAAGATTTCTTTTAGAATTATGAGAGATAATTTAAATGAAAGAGAAAGGAAATTTCACCAAGTTGATCTACTTGAATAGTTAAATTCAAAACTATTGCACAGGCACCCATGAAGACTCTAATTGTTCTGTAGGTAGGATTTCATGAATGTTGTGGACTTGATTTCTCTTCTGCATGAGTCAGAGTAATGTGTGTTTCCAGCTAAGAGGGTTTCCTCTACATTTTCTCTGCACCGTGTAAGTGTAGGCAACAACTCTTATCTGCACTGCCAACAGCCAAGATATACTGCCAAGTATAATACTTTCCTACGTGTTTTTCCCCGGGAGACACATAAGAAAATGTCATTTCAGGGAAATTGAGGCTCTCTGTTTAGTCCTTGGGAGATTTTTTGATGTTTCAAGAGAATGAAGTTGCTCTGCAGGAAGTTTCTCTTCCAAAAGGGCCAGGCCAGTTCTCACTGGTCTCCATGTGAATCTTGGGAGGGCTCCCTTGTGGAGTAAATAACAGGCCTGTTACATTGAAGCCAGCCTGAACACAGAACTACTATCCACACCGGATTTGATTTGATGATGAAGTAGAAATATGTTTTTTTTTTTTTGGTACCTGGAATCGAACTCGGGTCCTTGCGCTTGTGCAGAAATATGTTTTTTAATGCACATTTAATCTCTTAGAATATTAAGATGCTATAGAGAACACATTTTATAATTGACACTCTAAAATCCCTGAACTTGACCCTCCTAAAGGGAGAATGATTAATTTCTGTCTCAACACTTGAACCTGACCATAGTGCAATTTCACAAACAGAAATAAGTATTATTTTCAATGTCAGCAATTGCAAAAAAAATGAGGGTAATATTATTCTAAGAATTTATAGTATATTTCCAGCATACAGCTACAATTTTGCATGTGAAATATTATGATGTGCATCCTCATATAGCAAAAGGGTTACATGAGATTTTAAAGCAGAACATGTTTGGTTATTTTATAACAAAAGCTGAGATATGGGATCAGTTAGGAGATCTTAAAACAGTGACCAGGGTAAGTACTTGGAATAAAAGAAGATTTATCCAAGAATCTTGTTCTGGGATCTGGACTCTTACCCTGAGAGAACATTAAATGAATTTGTGAACCATATATTTTAACTCCTTTGCTTTCACTGGTTTAAACACACAATGTGTTTAGTTTAAGAAATTATCAAAATCAGAAAGGATGTAGAGAGGTAGTATATTAATTATTAATCAACAATTCATCAGCCTGTATTCTTACTTCAGATATGTGTTAAGTCAAAGATTGAGAACAGTAAAGAACAATCTAAAAATTCAGTAATTGTGTGTTATATGTATACTTGTGATCTTATTTCTATTTAAATATTTTAAATAAATAAAGCTTTCTTCCTTGACTATTGGGTGGTTTCCACTTGAGAATCTTTCTTAATTCTTAGTCATTTTTATGAAATGAAAATACATTTGTAGAAATCACAACTATGTCGTAGGGCTTTGTCAGTAAAGCAGAATTTCTATATTCAGTAATAAAAGCAAAAGTAAGAAATATAGTTAGTTTATTTGATAATTGTCCTTTCCTATTGTGATTCAGGGACATGCCAAGGGTATACGTAGGATGTGGCACAAACATTAAGGAGGATTATTTCAATAGACCATGGGGCTTTGGGCATTTTACGGAAATTCCATTCTATAAAAGATCATGTCCAGCTTAAGACAGGCAGGCACTAGTTATGCCAGAAAAATATAAACAAGAGAAATCATGGAGGCTATGAGATAAATCTAGGAGCTGCCATTACAGGTAAAACAAACTTGACGTTGCTTTCTTGACATTGAACTTAGTTTTTATTTTAATTTTTTTTGGTTTTTTTGTTTGTTTGTTTGTTTGTTTGGTACTGGGGATCGAACTCGGGTCCTTGTGCTTGCGAGGCAGGCAATGGAACCACTGAGTTACATCCCCGGCCCAGTTTTTATTTTGAAATGTATAACCTTCACATAAATACTTATGCCCTACGAATACTTATTTTACAGATACAAAAATTGCAATAAAAGGAAATTTTGGTTCCGTTAAATTGATATTTGTTACTTTCATTAAATTATCAAGGACCGAAAGAGTTCTGGGTCAAATCCGCAGAATATACATCATCAGGAGCATTCAAAAGCCATTCATTGTCTTTATCAATATAGTTGTAAGAAAGGGACAGGGAGCTGATGAGATTGCCATTTAGTAAAGGAACTTAGCAACAACTGCATCTAGTGTAAATCGAATCTCTCTTTCTGCGTGTCACTACTAGAGTGACAGGTGAAAAGTGAGACTCCTGTCGTATCTAGACAGACACGGGATGACAGCTTGCACTGGTGCATGTGCTGCAGATAAATCTTAAGAATATGCACATCCATGAGTGAACACACAGGAATTGAATATACGTGAGTTAATAGTTGAATAACACACAGTTTGCACACCTATGCAATATGTGGGTGTTGACTGTTGAGAAAGGAATAGGAAACCAAAATGTCACCGGGGTGCTGGACTAAAGGACCTCAGGGACCCCATCTGGGTACTACTTTATTACAGGCTTGGGGATTAAACTTTTGAAACTGCTTTATTTTGCAGTTTTGAATACAATTATTTTCCAGGCTTAGTTACGTTCAGATTGAGCAAACTGCTGTAGATTTTTTCCAGCTACTTAAAGTCTAATTTAAACTTTTGGTTCCAAATAGCAGCTGATCCCCCAAAGACCAAAAAAATGAAGGAAATAGAACAAAGATGAATTTAAACCCAATTCTAATTTCTGCTTTCAGTGGAACTGTTTCAAATATGGTCAGTAGCAAGTGGCAGTGGTTAGTATTTCCTTCAGCACATCCAGTTTTCTTATGAATACATTATAAAGATAAAAATTCTTATGAAATTTTAAAATTTCACTTTTTTCTAGTTTAAAAAATATTGTATTTTAAAAACAACACATCACATTAAATTTCTGAACAATAAAGATACAAAAAATTGCATTTAATTATAATTTCTTCAAATCAAAAAGAGGACACATAAAAAGCCCCTATGCAGAATAATACCACATCTGGAACTTCACATTTATGATGTTGTGATAATGCTTTAGGTGGTGTTTGTTTAATAGTTAGCAACAGTGGTTTAATGACTAGGATCCTATTGCAGAAGAAACATAGAAAAGGGCAAAGAGAATGAGAGAAAGACATAACACAAACCTGTACACTGTGTCTAATCAGTGTGATTACCATGTCCACCTCAATGCAATATGATCCTATCTTGAGTGACAAGCTTGCAGTCTGAGCAGGTCAGTAGTATTCAAAAGCAGAGCTCGGGATGGATTGCAAATCTACCATCTACCATCTTATTTTTATAGAAAAACACAAAATCTTTCTCTACATATGTCTATGTCTATATATATATATATTTATATATATATAAAAGCATCAGAAGACTGGTTTGCTAATTCTAACATCAGGATGATTGAGTTACGTACCGAGGAAGGGGATGGTAGAGGTCATAAGGCATGATCTGCTTGTATCCGTCACTGTTAGGAACAATAATGCCAACCCTCTGAGTAGAAGGTACACACAATAAAATAAACACTAAATGATTACATCATACAAAATTGTTATACAATTGCAAAACAACATTAATATATCATCTCTGAAAAACAACAAACAGTTCAAAATCTTTATGCTTGTATATGCTCTAAGATGGGGCACGTTCTCTGTAATTAATCCTCTGATCCAAGCAGGAAATACCATCGGAAAGGGTGGTGGCAGGAAACCTTGGCACCTTATCATTAATGATGACACAATAAGCTTATAAATGTTCTGTAATCCCCCAAATTATCCGTCATATGAGGTCACCATCATTGTCATCATTGTTAATGTTACTTCCAGATGCTCACCAAGCAGTTACAGTTTCTGTCTCACTCCTGATGAAAGCAAAAGCTATTTGAGCACAAATCTGTACCTCAGAATTGACAGTACTATGCAACGTGCATTAGCAAACAGGTTTCGTCTCTTGGCAGATCTGATGATTTTTACTAATACCTGGAAAGTAGCCACTTGTCTGTTTAATAAAAGCAGAGAGGAACTACCAAATATAGTAGGCAACTATCAGCAAAAGTAGATTCTCTACAAGAATAAAGTTATAGAAACTTTTCATAAACATAAAAGGTTTTTTTTGCCCTGTAACATGCTATATGTTGTTAATTGTTATGTGGTGGTGGTTGTGATGCATCTGTTGTTAGAATTATCTAGTGCTCTGGGAAACCTGTGAGGTTGAGGATGAAGCAGAGGCTAAAGGAGCAATGAAAAATGGCATTAGATGCTGCGTGACTAAAGAATGTGCAAGAAATGATGTCACAGATTGTGTAGAAGTTCCTGGAGGTCTTTAGGATTCCAGTTAACCTTTCCACTGACAATGGAAGGCTCCCGCTGGCAAGCCTGGGTCCTTGCAGAGGCCTGGTCCATGACATGTGGAGGACTTGTGCACACACAGAAGAGTCTTATTTTGCAACTGATAAATGCTAGGGAGCCCTTCTTTTGAATACCGAAGGGACTTATGTATTCTATCTGTATCCTTGGGTTTAATGGATGGGTACTTATTTATAAATCCATGTAATAATGTCCATATATTCAGCATAAATGTTTATACCTACATTTTAATAAAGGCTTTCAGTTTGACCTTATATTCTGGCAGAGGATGATATAATATGCTCTTTCTATATGGTTAGCAAGCCTAAGCAAAGGATGGGGTGGGCATATTGTGGATTAGAAAGACAAAAACTGACACTGACTGGAGATCATGAAAGACAAGGTGGAAAGAGGGAAGGAGAAAGAGGCCTCCACAGATTCTGAAGAAATTACTGAAATGTACAGAAATACTTAAGAGAAACTAAATGTTTGAAGCAAAATAGAGAACAAAATTGGGAAGACAGATATTTATTCCCAGAAAGGAAAAGGATTGGAGTACTAAAGTTTATTTTACATAACTAACTTTTTTGTATTTATTTGTAGGACTAAATATCTTACACTTACAAGAAAATTTCCAATTGTGTGTGCGCACGTGCATATCTCTGTGTGCATGTGTGTGTGAATGTTATTTTTATTTAACAATGTTCATAAAACTGAATACTACCTTTGGGTATTCTCAAAATCCCATAGATCTTTAACACAAAAATTGAATGAATATTTTATTAAACGTGTGCCCCTGTTTTTGGAGTTAAATGTTTTATTCACTTCTGCCTTCTGACAGACAAGAAATTGGATGAAAGCCTGATTCTGCCTTTTGTTAGAATCTTATGATCTCCTTGTAACAATGATTACATCTAGTAATTAAGGGAATTTGCTTTGTAAAAGGACTGTATTTGAAAGAATGCCAGCTTCCTAAATTTCTTCTAATAACTTGGACCTATACTGTTATCCAATACCAGTCAATTAAGGAATAAATCAGATTGACTTTGAAGTTGTATTTTACCTGCCCTTAGCATCTTTATTCATGCCTATATCAATTTCTAAATGCAGAACTGAATCCATTGCCTTCTATTCTGAAAATATTTATGGCTATAATTTGTCATCTTCAATATTGAAAACAACTTTTGCAGATCTCCGTCAGGTGATTTATCAGCTGATGATATTTAAGATGGAGTCAGTAACATTGAAGGAGACCAGCTGAACCAAAGAAAGGGAATAAATAGGGGAGTGCACAGAATTCAAGATGTTGGGCTTTGCTTTGGACTGATTTAGAAATAATGTTTTTGTTTGAAAAGGGAGCTTTAAACATGGATTCAGCAAAAACTATAGCTGTATTTGTCTTTCTGTGGCACGGGTCATGGTGAAGACTCATAAACTGACTATGGCACCTGTGAAAACAGAGAGATATCAGAACAATGGTGCTCTGTCCAGTCCTGCAATGCATATTCGTGTGCATGGGCTCGGCTTCCCCCTGGGCTCATGCCATAGCCCAGCCTCTCACTACACCAGCACAGAAGGGGGACGGCTTTGCCCAAGCTTAATTCCCTTTTGCTTACCTTTAAGACACTGTTTTTTTCTTAGATGAAGTGCACATCATGGAGAAGGACAAAAAAAGGGTACAATTTAGGGACTTAAATAAATTTCCCCATATGCAGGTCTTACTTACAGTGTGCGTGTATGCATGCATGCATTCAGACATGCATCTGAGTATGTGGGAAGCGGAGAAGGAGGAAAAGTGATTTTCAGAAGTGGTCATAAAGAGAAGGTACAAGAAACAGTTGGTTTGGAGGTGAAACTACTCATCTCCATTGCCTTAAGTATCCTAACCGCTTACGTGCATTTCATAGTTGGCACTGATGTGACTCCACCGAAAACTGCTACCATTGGAGGATTTGGTGGTGAGAAAAGAAAGTGAAGATGAGAAAATGATCACCCTGGAGTAGTAAGAGACACATACTCCCGCCTCTTCTCACAGTTCACACCTCACTGAGTTTTCCTGTGACAGGAGAGCACTTCACTATTACGGGAGGCTCATATAATGAAATATTTTGAAGCACATATGCATAAAATGTTTGAACCATTATCAATGAAATGGAAATTTTTCAGATGTAATGGCAATAGGAAATATTAAATACAAAAAGAATGTATAATATAACTCACACTATTAAGAAAATTTGTATGTTTATATATAATCTACATAATCATGTAACTATACAGGTCACATACATGTACTCTGTCATACATGTAGTTAGAAAAACATCTAGCACCTAACACCAGTAGGGAAACACCTAACACCTATGAGTATTTTTTTCTTGCTTTTTAAATATATTTTTTCTGTTTTCCAAGTTTTTAGATAATGAATTACCTTTAAGAATCACAGCAATTAGAATATTCAAATACAAAATTTTCAAGTAGAAAAGCATCCAAGCATTGGAACTATGGCATAAAGGGCTAAAACGAGGCCATCACCTCAATTTCCACATGACTTAGAGACTGAGTCTTGTGTGGAAATGATCTAAGACGCCACTTTGGATCTTTAAAAAAATCAAACCCTAATCGGGGTCATACCACTTCACTGTGGGATTCACACATTGCATAAATCTCTATGAGAAAAATCCTAATGTAACTAACTCCAAGGGCACTTAATTTATGAGGCTCTTTTTATCGTGGAAATGAACCATAGAAGATGCTCTCAGTGACGCTCACTCCTGCCTTCCTGACAGCTGCTTGTGGCCTCAGCTTTTCCGGATGAGCGTGGAGACAGCTCATCATCTGCCCTGTAAGTGTTCTTTTCCCTGATCCACATTCCTGGGGCTTGGCCACGCCTCCCTTTCCCTCTGTGCTTTGGCATCTTTGCTCCTTCTCTTTCCTGTGCTTCCTTCAGGCACTCGGTTCTTCCGGTCACTTTGGTTCCAGCAGCGTCCTCCAAGTGTGTTCTCCTTGCACCTTTCTGTCTGTAGGAGTTGACTTGTCCAGGCAACCTCCTCACCGCAGTCACAGAAACTGATCATTTACTTCCCAACTTCAAAGCCATAAGGGGCTGCATGATGCCCAGTGAAATTTCACATTCAAATGCTACCTCTTCTAAAGTCTTGCTTGTCTCTTTTAACATCTAGCCAGAAATTCTCCGTCCTGAACATCCATCACACTAACTCTTCTTATTACTTTCAGCTCTGTCTTAGCTGTGCACAAGCCTTGCATTAGTATAGCACTGTGAGACAGAACCCACGACGGTCTTTACTGTTATGTCAGGACAGTGCCCTGCACTTGGGCAATTAGTGAATATTCACTAAATGATGTCATGCCCTGGGCGCAGATGCAAAGGCAGGCAGTACAGCTACCACTCAGCATTAAAACAGAAGCAGAGTAAACAAAATACAAGGTTAAAAGAGAGAAAAGGAGGGAAAGAACTCCCGAACTGTTGCATGCTGTGCAGCATCCAGTCCCACTGCCCGCAGCACTGGCTTTCCTGTCTGAGAGTCAGGACAGTCACTGGAGTGTAGGAAGGTGAGCAGGCACCCAGGCGACTGGCTGACTGGCTGATGGAGGCAGAGAAAGCGCAGAATAATGACCACTGTAGTTCCAGCCTGCTTGGCTTAGCTCTTTCCACTGGGCCTGTTCCAGAAGTGACTCTGAGAGCTTTGTAACGATCTCTTCCCTTTCTGTCTTGTATGTCTGAGATACCATGCTGCTTTGTGACTGGGCAGCTCAGCTCCTCTGGACAGGGTTGGGCCCAGATTCTAGTTGATTTATCTTTGCCTTTGTTGAGGTATCAAGCACAAAAGAGGGTACAGGGCAGGCAGTAAATTTTTTAAAAAGGATGAAATGAAATGATGGGTGATAGAAAGAGTTTCAGCATAGACAATGTGTTTCACCTTCTGTGGAAAATTCCAGGGCAGTCGAAACTAACTTCTTCCTAAATAACATGTTAGACTATTAGCAGGAAAGAGCTAATAAAATGTTGAGAAAAGACATAAAGACTTTTCTTTCTCCTGAGTGGTAGAGCACAGAAGATTGTAGCATAATGAGGGAATGGACTCCTCGAGAAGCTGGAGATGGAAGG